GCCTCAAAATAAATAAATTATGTAACAGCGTACAACATTGAATAAATATTTTATACACAACTAAATAATAAGATATGCAGTCAACGCCCACTTTTCAAAATTGGTTGAGTTAATTTACTCTTAAAGATGTTGATATTATCGGTATTAACAACATTAAAAGGCAACTGATTGTTAAATGTTAACAACTCGGTAAGAGAAACTAAGTTTGTGAATATCTAGTTAACTTTGTTGTTTGTGTATTTTATATTTATGTACTCGCGTATTGTTTTTGTTGTCAATAAAAAAGAACATAGGCTTATCAATTAAGACCAAGTTATGCAGAATTTTGAAGCAACTTGATAAATTATGTTTTACTCGCCTTATCTCAAGCAACTCCTAATCAAGCAACTGAAGTTGGTTATCGTAGGTTACATTGCTTAAGTGCAGGATGTTTTTGTGAAATGTTTTTGCACATTCTTAACTACCTTTATTAGTTCAACATGGTATGGCGACCTGGTTAGCGGTATTCTAATATAGGCCTAATATATGTATTGAAGGCTTTTACTAAGATACTAGGATCGCTAGACTTGAAGCATTTTAAAATAAGGTATGCTCTGGTATTAGCTGCATGTACAATGTTTGAAATATGCTTTATATTATTCAGTTGAGAATCCATAGTCACATCAAAATCTTTCGGAATAAAAGACCAAGCTAAAGTATGATCTTTAAACTTATAGTTAAAGTTAATAAATTTTTTTGATGAAGCAGGTGCAATCTTATAAACAGAACACATACTAGTAGAAATAGGTAGTTGCCATGTTTATCAAGAGCATTAACTAAGTGATAGTTATGGTCCGTATGGCAAAATGAACTTTATAACTTGGTGTCATTGGCATAAAGCTTTAAAGAGCAATCAAGATTATTAACAATTATTAAATTATAAGTTTTAAATTAAATCATATATTTTTTATCAGAATTAAATTATATTATTATGATCTTTGCTTCAAGCTTAAGGTATTAGTGTTTTCCAAGCGAAAAAATCAATCATTATAATGAAATAAAAATAAAATAAAAATAAGTTTTCAAATTTATTTGAGTTATTTTCATTAGTAAATAGCGCTTATATCTAACATAATTGTCATTCAAACTTTTATAACAAATATTTTAACATAATCGTCATTCAAAAGTTAATGTAGTTTTTTAAAAAATTAATTACTTCTCTTTTAATTGAATGACGAGTAACACGATAATGAATTTTAGTAGAGGGCACAAGAGAAACTAGCTTTTTAGAGCAGTGCCCATTATAGTATTTGTAGAAAAGAGAAAGAGAAGCAAAATGATGATGTGATAATGGTTGGAGGTTTGCTGCAAGAGCAGGTCCAACTAAGTTTACAATGCGTTTTTCACCTTGTCTATAAGAAAAAGGGCATCATTAGAAGATCCGCCCCAGATATGGCAACAGTATTCCATACAAGGCCAGATTTGAGATTTATAAAGTTGGAAAATAGAATCTGGGGTAAGAAAGTGTTGAGCTCGATAAAGAGATTCAACCTTAGCAGATGCTAATTTTGCAACGGATTTTATATACGGTTTCCAAGAAAGATCAGAAGTAAGAGTTAATCCTAGAAGATAAAGAGTAGATGACTTATGGAGTACATTACCCTTCATAAATATAGGAAGATCTAAATTATTGCGATTACGATTGGCTGAAAAAAATTGAGTTTTATCTGAATTAAAGTTCACCAGCCACTGTGAACCCCATGCTGTAGCAGAAGTGAGATTTTTTTCAAGCTCAAATGCTCCCTCCAAGCAATCAGAGAGTGTTGGCTTCTTATCAAGACAAGAATAAATGGTAGTATCATCAGCGAACAATGCCACCTTAGATGTGAGAATATCTGGAAGATTGTAAATGTAAATTAAAAAGAGTATAGGGCCAAGGATTGAACTTTAAGGAACCCCTGAAGTTACAGAATATGAAGTAGAGTGCTTTCCATCGAGGACAACTTTTATACTACAATAAGAAAAGCAAGGATTCAATAGTCTTCAATATTTTACCAGATTATTATGGAGAAGACCAGCATGCCAAACTTTATCAAAAGCTTTATAAATTTCAAGTGCAATGGGCCTAACCTTTCTACCTTTATTTAATGCACAATAAAACCTATTTGTTAATACTGTTAGCAAGTCAGCTATAGAACAAGAAGATAGAAATCCATATTGATGATCAGAAAGTCAGTTATTAGATTCAAGATGAGAGAATAAGTGTTTTTTAATTAAAGATTCAAAAACCTTGCTTATGATAGAAAGAAGACTAATGGAACTATAGTTAGACAAATCAGATCGCTCTCCAAATTTTTTGAAAATAAAGAATAACAGATGCAGTTTTCCAGCAGGCTGGAAAGCAAGACTCAGATAAGCACTTGTTAAATAGTTTTGAAAGTATAGACGACATCTCTGGAGAACACTTCTGCAAGACTATAACAGGTATGTTGTTCGGGCCACAAGCTGTAGAAGAGTCTAAGCAGGAAATCACTTTAAATACAGAAGCTGGAGTAATACAAATGTCAAGCAATGGATCAACCTGTTTGACAGCTAAATCAGGTAGAACGCAACTAGTGGAATCAAGAAATGATATTGATGAAAAGTTCTTAGCAAATAATTCAGCATTGTCTTTAAGTGAGGTGACAAAGTCTGAACCATACAAGAGAGGTGGAGAGGTGTATTTCTTTAAAAGGTTTTATCTTTTTTGTTTTTGAAATGTTTTTTGAAATAGTCAAAGTCAAATCATCAATTAAAAAAAAAAAATTATTATTTGCATGGTTTTATGATGATAAGCGATTGCAAGCTTTACTGACAAAGTCCAGTATTAAAGTTATCCTTAAACACTTTTCTTCATTTTTAGTAACTTCTGGAGTATTTAAAGGTTCTGTCCTATGTTGTTTGTTATATACATTAATGATCTTCCTGACAATCTTACATCTAAAGTGGCTCAATTTGCTGATGATTCAACTTTATACTCCTGTCTTAACAACAAGTCTTCTCTTTTCGATCCTTTAGAACTGGCAGCTGATATTAAATCTGATCTCTCTTCTGTAACAGTTTGGAGCTTGTAGTGCTTGCGCAACTTCAACAAAACTTAGTTATTTACTACAAACAACTAAAACAAAAGTTGTCGAAAATGGTCTAGAATAGCTCCTGTCTTAGATCATCATTTGTTGTTGACCTCTCATAGAAACAATACATACAATCTATCGGAAAGTTTAAATTCTCTACCTCTACAAATGTCTTATCTGTCCCAAAAACTCATTCTCGCTTGATTTTCCCTTTATGCTTTAAAAACTTTTGTTCATCTATTTTTTTACTTTAATGCTTTGGAACTCTCTCTCTCTTTTTTTATCTTTAGGATTTCCTGAATCATAAAAGCTTTAACTTTTTAAGTCTTTCTGGCAATTATTTCCTTGCTCTTACACTATTTTTTGTTTTCTAGTAACTTCCAACTTAATAATGGTTGTAAATTTGTTGGGTGTAAATCAGTATAAAACAAAATAATTGTAAAACTGTTGTTGTGAGATCTCTATTAATTTTATTAGAGTTTTCTTTTGTGTATATATGTTTTATATACTTTAAGGGCTGTTTTTTTTTCAATAGACTCCAACCAATAGTATTAAAATGACAATGACTTCAGTCAATGGATGCAAGATGTGTTTTAAGTGAAATAATTTTTTAATTAGATGTTAATAAAAGATCAATTGAAAAATGATTTTGGTTTTGGCTGTGTGTTGGGTTTGAAATAATTTTGGTTAATTTTATTGGTTTAGAAAAACTTGAGCTTGAGGTTTTGCTAATTGATATCTTGATAGTAAAAATCTCCAATATCAATAATTTTTGATTAATCAGCAAGTTTTGTGATTGTTGTTGTTTTTAACATTTATCCAGTGGTCTGTAATGTAAGGTTAATACAAGCTCAATGTTTGTTAAAAATTATTTTATTTTAATATAAGTATAAATATTGCTAAGCTCCTGTGACATAAATTATTGCTTTTTTAATAGTATTTTTCCATATCTAACTTCTAATCATTAGTTTGGGCTTTTTTATTTTTTAATAAAGTTTCTGTTATAAAAATAAGATTTAAAAAAATATAGATACAAAAAAATAATTTAGCTTTCATATTGTTGGTGCTTGTAGATTTAATTAAGACCCTGCTTTGAAAGACTTCAAAACATTTTAATAAATTATTGTGAAGTATTTCTTATTATATTGTTTGTCTATTATACATAATAGTAATAATTGTTTTATTATTGTTGAAGTTGCTTTTAAAATATTTAGAAACAGAGCCATTAAAATCAAAGTGTGTTAAATATAGCAGTGTTAATTTAATATACCACACAGAGATCAAGTGTTATAATAAAATAACTTTATGTTATGTGAAAACAAAGTTATTTGTTTTATCAAGTTCCTCAAGGTCCAAATAACCACTGGAAGAACCACTAATATTGTAAAACTGTAAAACTTGAATCAAAATTATAAAAATGATAATGAAGTATTTTGTACCAAAAATTTGTAATTAAATTTTTTTTTGTATTTGAATTTTTTTTTAATTTTTTAAAATGTAAAGGTTTTTCTTTTTTTTTTGTGGTCAGGTTGTCTTTGGTCTGCAAACTACAGAGGCTTTTTACAGAAAAAGCAACTTTTATTTGAAGCATTTGTGTAAAATTCATTTTTTGTGTCTTATTTTAACATTAACATTAACAACTTTAATATTATTATCATAACACTACAATATATTATTGAGAAGCAATAATATATTGTAGTGTTATGATAATACAACAGGATGGAATTTTTTAACTACTAAACAAGTTTTTTTACTTAAGCAGTTTTTTTAAATACTTGAAATAATTTTATGATAAAGAATTGAAAACAAAAGTAAAAAAAACTTTAAATTTAATTTTATAATAATTGAATAAAAAACTTATTAGTAATGAAAATTTTTAAATTATACTATTCAATTTTTTTTTTTTAGCTCATGCAAAGTCAGAGTGGTTCATTTTATCCATCTAATAGTCCTATGCCAGTCATCTCCTCTATTAATGCCTATTATCCATCTAATCCGTCAATTGCACCAAATACTCCTATGATTGGGCCTCCAATGACTCCATTAACACCCATGGTTGCTCCAATGACACCAATGTCTGCAGAAGCTTCTGGTATTATTCCACAACTACAGTAAGAATTAAAAAATTTTTCTGTGCAGTTTTTTCTCTCATTTGTACTTGTAATGCAGTTTTATTGAGGAATATTTTTATTTATTTATTTAGGAATATTTTTATTTATTTATTTAGGAATATTTTTATTTATTTATTTAGGAATATTGTTTCAACAGTTAATCTCAGTTGCAAGCTTGATTTAAAAAAGATAGCATTGCATGCAAGAAATGCTGAGTATAATCCAAAGGTAAGAAATATGTTATTGTTTGTCAAGAATATTAACGCTATGTTAATAATATAATGTCTATTCCTTCTCTTTGTACAAATTTGGAAAAAAAAAATTATTGGAGACATTCTTATTTGTCTCTATTCATCTTTAATTATAAAGGTACTTCATTTATTTTAATGGCCACAGATCCGTTTAAGATTAATTTAAACTATTTGTCTCTGAAAATGAATATCCAAACAGCTGTTACGGCAAAGTTGCCTTTTAAAGTGTCAATAAACACTAAATATTTGTTACTATTCCATTTATTTAACAACACTTTTTTTCTTAGAGCCAATAATTTTCAGGAAAGTCACACAAGTGACTGTTAATGAGTATTTAGAGTATCTTGAAATGTCTTTTAGCAAATTCATTTTATTGTCCAGAACTTGCAGCTTTGCATTCATGACTCTATATTAAGCCAAAAATCAGTTAAAGACATTTTAACTTTATGCAAAGGGATAACAACACATTTTAATTTGACAGAAGCATGTGCAAAATTAAAATCAATTGAAAACATCCTAGCCCTATTTGAAAATGTTTAGATGAAAGAAACTTGTGCACAAGTTCTATCATTCATTCTTGCATTAAAATTGAAGTTAAGGCATAATTGTATGGTTTTATCCCTTTCTCTTTTCTACAGATATTATCATGGTCACTGCTCAATTGAGCTATTAGCTCTTGTTCTATCAACCCAAACTTATTCTCACATGATTCATCATTTAGCAAAGTTGCATCTATTTATTTTATTTATCCATTTTTGCTTGATTATTCATCAGGTTTTTTGAGAGTTTATTTAGGTTAGCATTTTCAAAATTCTTGAACTTGATGATAGTATTATATAATCCATGTCCAGCAAAAATTTGTTATGAAACATAAGATTAGTTTAACAGTATGGAATAACCTTTTTTTGGCTACTGAAATTCATGTAATAAAGTGGTTCTATTCTTAGTTCAAGTTTTTTGTTTATTCAAATTTTTCTACCTTTATTTTTTTCTCCTGAAACTACTAGTTCTCTACATGTTGATGTAATCATTTGAATCTTTATGTTCTTCATCCCCAAACCACCTTAATTATCCTTGACACATCCTATCAAATGTACTCACTTTTTCTAATCACTGTCTAAGATTAAAAATTCTTTTCTTATCTTTTAGAGTCAGACTACACATCGTTAATGATTTATTTTTTGCATTTTGAACTTGAGATAATTCTTTAAACTTAACCTAGGCACCCTTGCTGTTGATGCCTCTTCTGATTAAACAGCTGATCCAATTGTATCTCCAAGGCAACAAAACTTACACACAAAATTTTTCCACCACTAAATATTTCAATTTCTTTTTCTTTCTGTATTCACCAAAATTACATTTTCTACACTCAAAACCAACTTTGTATACTAAGAGCACCTTGCATACAACTACATCTCTTATGAACCCATTTCAAAAACTGTACAAACAGTAGAGTTTGGTCCAAATTCTTTTCTACATGTTGCACAAGTCAGACTTTCTAGTATTTCCATTTTTTTTTTCTACTCAAATTCTTTTCTATGTGTTCCATTTCAGTCAGATTTTTCAGTATTTTCTATCTGCTTAGAGTGTAAAATTTTAAATTATAAAGTCGATTTTAAATTATATGTCATTTTGTATAGAAAAATATAATCTCAGTTACTTCAAAAAGAAAAAATGCAGGGAGTGTTTTTATTTAAAATATCTGCATGTTTTTATCTAAAATATAAATATTTGTATTTGCAATTCTAAAAATGACAAAACCAATAAATTGTTATTTCACATGTCAAAAAAGATATAAGATTAAAAATGAAAAAACACAAAATATCTAATGATTAAAAACATTGCATTAAAGTAGAAAAATTAGTTTTAAAAAAAAAAAAGGTTTTTTATTAGCAAACATAGTTTAATATTTACGGCAAAGGCTAATTTGAAAAACAAAAAACTTTTTTTTTTAACTTATTGTTACTATTTTAATATGGTCTGATGCCAAACATATATGCTTAACATGTTAAATCACAGAATCAAAAAAGTACATTAACGAGCATGAAAGTTACAGTAAAAAAGATGTGGTACAATTTAGAACAAAAAAATGTGAATGCCAAAGCTAAATATGTCATCATCATTATCATCATCATTATTTTTTAAATAGATTTTAAAAACACCTCAAATTGTTTGTAGGTTTATGATTGGTTAATAACAACACAAAATAATTGATACTTTTATTTCACTAGCGATTTGCAGCAGTTATTATGAGAATTCGTGAACCTAGGACAACTGCTCTTATATTTAGTTCTGGGAAAATGGTATGTACTGGAGCAAAAAGGTAACAACAGTATATTTTAATAATTGCATTAATATTTTTTGCAATAAAATGTGTAAATGCTAAAAAGTTTTACCAAGATATGAAAATTACAAATTTCGCAAAATCATGTTATGATAAAATTATAAGTCATCATAAGGTGATTTTTTTTGATTCAGGTGTAAATTTTTAGTTTAAACTTTATTTTTATTTTCTGTGAACAGGTTTGTAAATGCTAACACATTACATAATGCTTTTAGGATTGTTAGAAATTGGTTCTGCAAAATAACTTATGAATTTGGGACTTGTAAAAAGAAATTATAAGAAGTTTATGATAAATGTTGAGTTTAATAAAAATAAACTTATAATAAATAAATTTTTGATTAGAAAAAGTTCACAAATGTTTGCTTAAGTGTAAAAAAAACTCAAATTATACAAAAAATAATACAAAAAGATTCCGAGATTTAACACAATTAAATAATATTAAGCAAGGTATTCAATAATTGAGCTATATGGATTAATTAGTGAAAATTTTTTTTATTGCCATTGTACTTACTGACTTATCATATTAAGAGTGCATATTTTTTTTATTTGAGAAAAAGCTGACAAATATTTTTTTGATATATGCTTGGTGAAAAGTAGATGAAAGATATTGATTTTTAATGAGATTTCATAATGTTAGGGATGACTAGATTGTCTGATGAATATAAAACTGCGTGTGAAAGTGTAATTTTTTTCAGTTAACTTAATTAAAAGTAACACACAATCCCAGATCTTCCAAAAGAAAATGAAGTTAAATGTACACATTTACAACACACATTTTACATACAAAATTTGTGATTTTGCGCACTCATACTATTTGGTTACTTTGAAAACATTTTTTTTGAATACTTAAATAAGTTTTAGACTTATTCTTTAAGTGGTATATTTAATAGTTTTTTCTAAAAAAAAGTTTGAGTATTAAATTTCTAAAATTCATAATTATGGTTTTTCAATAAAATTAACTGAATGGCTTAACAATTTCTTATCTAATAGAAATCAAAGAGTGGTTTTGGGTCAACATACATCAGAGTGAAAAGAACTTTTAAGCAGAGTTCCTTAGGGTTCAGTTTTTATTATCAATTAATTTCTAATTTAAAACATTTAAATTTTTAAATAAATAATTCCTTAAACTTTCCCCCTAAACAAAAATTGGTATTAATGTTTCATATATACAATGCGCAAATAGCTTTATTATGATTTTTAAATAATATGTAAGTTTTGACTTCTTTATTATTTTTGCATGGAGTAAATTAATTGTTTTGTTTTTTCATTAATTTTTGCAATATGATAAATTGATCGTTTCATTAAAAAAGTTCATGGATTTTAATAAAATCCGTGGACTTAATTTGAGCCCTTCAGTAACTAAAATACTTTTAACTATATAAAAAAAAAGTATATATGTTACCGATGTACTGAATGCACATTTTTAGCTGATGCCAATTATGATACTGATAGTGATGGACAAAAAAAGGCTGATGCCAATACTAATTAATTAACTGATTATAAAAAAAATCAGTAATACAAAACTAAGTATTACAGGTCAGATCAAGATCATCATGATCACCCAGCTACTGGTAACATGTAGTTAAGTATAACCTGTAATATGTCTCATTGCCTTTTAACTCTGACTTAAAACCTTAAGGTTCTTGGTGGAGTTTAGGCTAGAGACGGTGTCTTGATAAATATATTTGTTTTGGGCAGGTGTTAGCATCCGGATACTGCCTTGTTGAAGACTTCTGAGTAAAATTTTAGGGGTAAACAGAAAATTTTTGTGGGACCGCCTTGCACTTCTATTTCATTAATAGGCTAGCATACATTTAAACCTGCATTAATTTTTTTTCTGCCTTGAATGATAAGTGCAGAATCATCTTCACTGGTTGTTTCTTATCTATATTAATGATCTTCCCCCTAAAAATAATCTACATCCAATAATCTTCCTTCAAAGTATATGGTTGTCTCATCTAGCATGTCTCTGTGTCTCAATTTGCTAGATGAGACAACCATATACTTTGGTCATAAAAGTAATGAGATTTTAATTTCTTGAAAAAAACAATCTTGAATGTGATCTCTCTTCTAAGACAGCAAGTTTTCTTGCTTCTCATTCTAAGACAACATGGTGTTCCTGTTTTCTTACTCCTCATTCCATTCTATAGCTCTATAAATCTCTTGTTAATCCTTGTATAGAATATTGTTTTCATACAGGCTGGTCCTTCTAATTATGCTCATTCTCTTTTAAACAATCCAAAAACACATTGTAAATGTAGTTGGATCTGTTCTAGCTTCCAAGCTTATGTTTCTGTCCCACTTGTCATATGGTTCCATCTTTTTCTATTTTTTATTGCCATGGTTACTGCTACAATGGTTACTGCTCAAGCAATGTAAATCTCTTTATCATCTCTTGTTCAATTGAAAAAACTCAATTTGTTAAATTTAAAAAATTAAAACAAAACTCTTGTTCTACCCAAATTTAATCTCATGTTTAATCAAAGTTGCATCCTTTACTGTAACTGTTCCACCTTGCTCAAAAAAACTTATATAAACCTAGTTTTTTATAGCAAACATAATACTTTAGAAGTCCTGTCTCTATATTCCTTTTTTTGCATGTTGTCCATGTTGTCTTAGAATGAGAAGCAAGAAAACTTGCTGTCTTAGAAGAGAGATCACATTCAAGATTGCTTTTGTAAGTGAATTAGCTATTAAAAGTATATATTTAATTGTATAATTTAGTTAAAAAAAATAAAAATATGCCTATATTATTTTTTCATTTATTTTTTTTCAATTCACCACCCTATAGCTGAGAAGGCCACTACGGAGGAAGAGATTACTTAATTGTGGTTATAACCCTCTCTTAACTCTATAATTCTGAAACACAAATCTTGACGAACAAGGTCGCTGCGCGGAAAAACAAGTTGAGCATGGTACTACCAGGGATGGACTGGGGATCAAATTCGGAACCTCTCGCTTATGAAGCCAGCGCTCTACATAAAAATAGAGAGTTTGATTTGTTTAACATAATACTATTTTCATAATGCAGGATTTAATTTTTTTTAAAAACATGTTAGAAAATTGGTAAATCAATTAAAAAGGCTGATATCGATAATCGTACCAATTGTGCAAAAAGTGGCTGATTAAGTATTATTTAAAAAATATTTTTATTAAACTTTTGTGTGTTTACTTTATTACTCACCTGTTAAGGATTGACAAAAAATGAGATTGAAAATTGACTACTTCAACACTTCTGATTGTGGAGCATGCCATATATATATATATATATATATATATATATATATATATATATATATATATATATATATATATATATATATATATATATATATATATATATATATAGAATTCGGCAGGAATGGCAGACTATAGCCCACGCCAGCCTCCATACCTGAGCAAATCAGTTTACATGTTAAATATTTTTTTATTTTTATTTAGTTATTCTTTTAAAAACTTCTCGAATGATGTAATTTTGTAAAACTGTTTGTTTTACTAGTTAAAAAATGAAACTACTTTATTCAGGATGACCTAAAAAAATTATGAAAAAAATAATTTTTGAATATTCTGATGTAAAAATAAAAAATTAAAATCAAACAATTATTTCAAACAGCTAAAACTGTTCAGTATTATTCTGTCTTATGTTAAAAGATAAATAATTAGTATGTTAGAAAGCAAGCAAAATATGCATATGTTGCAAAATAATTTAACATAATATAGGCCTTGGCAATAGGATTTAAAATAGGAGTTTAAAAATCAAGCTCTAAAAATCAGTTTTTTTTTTTTAATCTTGGCTTCCAACGAGGCTGCAAACAACCACTAATTATTTAGTGTATTTAGGCTGCAAACAACCACTAATTATTTAGTAGTAGAGAAATTTTCTGTTTACCCTTAAAGTTTTTTCCTAGGAGGTCTTCTACAATACAGTAATCCAATGCAATTTATATATTTTTTCCTAGGAGGTCTTCTACAAGACAGTAACCCGATGTAATATCTGTTCAAAATAAGTATTTTAATTGAGAAATCTAGCCTTGCTTAACCAACCTAAAATACTGGTCAAAAACTTGTTAAACCACAGTTGGTTTTTTATAACCTGTGCCTAAAAATGCAAGTTCTGCAAGACTTTTAAAGGTCATGTGGCATGTTGTAGTGAGCTACATGTTACCATTAGCAGCATGATATTGATGATCTTGATTCTGGACTGACCATATATAGTTTGCTATATATGCTAGCAGTATATTCTGTTTTTTTAATTTGACTTTTGATTTTCTGATTTTATATTTTAAAATTGAACTTAATACTGCTGCTTATGCTCATTTGTACATGCATTGACAGGAAACTCATGGTAGCCATTACACCTGAGTTAACAACAAGAAGAAGTTGCATCACTTTTTTTTGTTAGAAAATATGAACAAAAGTGTATGCAAATATCTAAGTTATGTAAACTTCAAATTATGTAAACAAAATTATATCAAGTTTTACTTTTACTTGAAAATTGCATATTTTGCACATTTTTAGTTTATAACATTTATTTGCACATTTTTAGTTTATAACATTTATTTGCACATATCTTTTTAGTTTATAACATTTATTTGCACATTTTTAGTTTATAACATTTATTTGCACATTTTTAGTTTATAACATTTATTTGCTTTTTTATAAAGTTGTAGTTTTTTGCTCAATAATAATGTTTGAAGCTATCGGTATAGTATGCCTGAGTGGCAAAAGTGGTTAGCTCGCTGCACTTTCAAAGTGCATTCAAATTCTTGGGGGTTCAAATTCTTTCACTTGCACATTTATTTATTTTTTTAAATCTTAAAATTTGCTAAAATACAAAATATTTCATTTTTAGAGTTCTATATATATTATATACATAACATATATACATATATTATTTAATAACTATAACAAAAGGAATTTTTAAAAAAGTTTATAATTTTTCAAAACATCAAAGCATCAGTAGAAATTTTTTGCGCATGTGTTATGATAGAGATACTTATGTTATTAATGTGCTTAGGTTATTAGTTAAGCACAGCATTTAACACACATTAAAAAGACAACTTTCTTTCTTATAGGAAAAAAGATTTTACATATAAACTTTTATTTTCTTCAAAATTAATTAACAAGGCGGGTCTTAATAAGGCTGCAGGTGGTTTGAAAAAAAAATTTAATAAAATCTCATTAGAAATAAATTAAGTTTTATAAGAATACAGAAAATTCTTAAAAAATAAGAAAATCAAAAATTAAATTTTTATTTTTAACCATTTGCTAAAAATTATTAAAATAAAATATAAAGAATAAGTATCGAAATGGTTGGTGTGACTTGCCAAGACCCGTATTTTATGAGTCGGGACAGCTAGTATTATAATTATTTTTGCATCAAAATTATGATTCTGTTAGAAATTACTCTACTAAATAAAACATTTTTAGTGAAGAGCAATCAAGACTTGCTGCAAGAAAATATGCTAGAGTTATTCAAAAGCTTGGGTTTCCTGTAAGTTATTATTTTATTAAAAATTGTACAAATAAATTTATTGATCTAATATTATTAACTCTAAAAAATCCATTATTGTTTGATTGTAACATTTATATGACATTCTACATGATATAACAGACATCCTGCATGTTTTCTGAAAATCCTACATTGATATCCATTTAATAATAGTCAATGCTTTTATATAATTACAATCAATAAAGTTTTACATTTGGTTATCAGCGTCACAAAATGAAAATTAATTATAATCTTCCCCAACCTTTGTAGCATGATAGTGTAGGGCTAGGCAGTTACAATTTTTGTTTTGAATTTAGTTTCAAATTTAAAAAAAAATTGTGGTAAATAGCAATGTTACATTTTTAAGATTTATATTTTACTATCTGATTTATTTATTTCAGAATGCTGAAAATGAATGAATGCAGCAAATGCATTTGTTTTCTGTGCAAAAAAATCTAATAACTTTCTACTGTTAACTGGAATTTACAAAATATGTTTAAAGCTCTGAAAAAGTATTTACATAAGGATGTTTCTCTACACTATTTGCTTACTTGAGATGCATTAGATGCATCTCAAGTGAGTGATTTATGGCTGTCAAAGACTCAGGTACCAATTTATTGACAGCTATGCATAGCATGACAGCCATACAAGAGCTCAAACAATTATCTACAATATCAAAAGAATTATGCTTAATTGACTACAATAGCAAACATGCGTTTAAGAAAATTGATTTGACTCAGTAAATAATAAATTGCATTAAAAGCATAATATTTTATGCTTTTAATGCAATTTATTATTTATTATTTAAGCATTTCTAATAGGCTCATAGATTTTTAGGTTCAATGTTGTTAGAGTATTAATGAAACATTTGAATAAATAGTATCAATTTTTTCTATGATTGTTTATCTACTTTTTTTGAAAATAGAATGTTAAAAATTAATTTGTGCCAATTTTGTTATATTTCTGAATTTGGAACTTACACTAATGTATCCTTGTACTATCATGTCTTAAAAATTTTTATTGGAAGTTTTTAATCAGTTAATGTTTTGCAACACTGTATTATATTATTGATATACAGCCCTCGGAATTAGGGTCAACATTTGGCAATGCTGACCTAATTGCCGACCTGAAAGTGTTTGAGGTCAGCAAAAAATTGCCAAATTGCTGATGCCAATCTCTAACAGTTTGAGGTCAGCAACCTTATTTTCTTAATTCCGGTGGTTGGATATATTAGACATAAGTTTAAGCTAAATTTTCTAATTTTGTTCAGGCTAAATTTGTGGACTTTAAAATTCAAAATATTGTGGGAAGTTGTGATGTTAAATTTCCAATTCGATTGGAAGGATTGGTGTTGGCTCATAGTCAGTTTTGCAGGTAGTTTAAACTTTTTTTTTTTTTTTTTTGTATGATATTTATGAAGTTTTGCACTATACATTAGCTAATCTTATTTAGGATTTTTTTTCAAGTTGATTGTTTATGGTTCTTCTGTATATAAAATTGTTTATAAATACAATAAAAGATAAACATAATTATTAACAATAACAATAGTAAATACTTATCTTTTTCAAAATTGTTGAATAAATTTTTATTTTATTTCCAAAAGTAAAAATACTGTTCTGTAAAACAATAAATTATTGGTTAATGTTTCTCAAAATTTTTTCTCAGAATGTAAGAGGTAGTTAGTCTGTGTATATACTTATAAATGCAATTAATGCATGTAGTTAGACACTTAATGTATATAAAATATAATGATATAAAATGTGATTGATTATGTATTTGCTTTTTAGTTATGAACCAGAATTATTTCCTGGTTTGATATATCGCATGGTAAAGCCTCGTATTGTGCTACTAATTTTTGTTTCTGGAAAAGTTGTACTTACTGGAGCCAAAGTACGCTCAGAAATATATGAAGCATTTGAAAGCATCTATCCAATTCTACGAGGTTTCAGAAAAACTTAGTAAAAGCTTTTGATGTGAGAGCTTTATCAAGCTTTTGCATATTTTTTTATAAAAGACTTTTTGTAGCGATTGCATTCTTAACATTTTACAAGTTTGCTGCTTCATGTTGAAGTCTTTAAAGTATATTATGACTTTAAATTCTTTTATAAAATTGTAGACATTGATGAAAATCAAATAAATATGATCTATAATAAACATAGTTTTTTAAGAAATATTGTGTTGAAATATTGCGTTGAAATATTGTGTTGGAATATTGTGTTGAAATATTGTGTTGAAATATTTATTATACATATTATTTGTATTAATTTTTTGCTATTTTCAAGAGGTTTTTATTTTATATTTTATTTTCATCTTTAAAAAAAAGATGAAAATAAAATTTACCATACAGTATTCATCCATTCAGCATACTGTTTGTTCAGAATTATTTTGCACATGATTATTAAAAACTTCCAAGAAATTTTTTTTTTGTAAAACTAAAATATATATAAATTAAAAATACAAAGAATTTTTTACACATTCTTGTCTTAATATGTTGTTTTTACTTTCTTGTCTTATTGTGTTGTTTGCAGCCCTTTGAATTAGGGTCAGCATTCTGCGATTCTGACTTAACTGCCAACCTAAAGTGTCTGAGGTCGGTGATATTTTGCTGAGATTGTTTTCATGTTATGGTGAAATCTTAAAAAAATTTTGTCCTAACTTGATTTTTTTAAATTCTGTTGACTTGTTGTTTGTATAGCTTTGGTATTAAAAAGTTTATTTAAAAAATAATACTGGTAAAATTTTAGTTTGACCCTAATTTTAGAAAAGTAGTTTACAGTATAATATTTTCTAAATGATTTTAAAAAAAATTTTAAAACTTATTTTGAATATAATACTGTCTAATATTATAGTCATTACTTTTAATCCTCAAAGATGGTTAAGGTTGAATATATTGAAGGTGATTCATTCACAGCCTTTATTTTTCCCAAAGTCTCATAGATTGTATGTGCCAATATTGGTTAGGGTAGATAACAACATTAAAAACAACAAGTTGTTATTGATGTTGCCATTGATGCTGTTATTGGTGTGTTTTTTTTGTATTACTTTTAGTGCTAATATTCCTCAAGGTTGGCCACATCTTTTTTTCTTTATAAATTTTTATTAACATTTTTTAAGTTACAATATTTTTTTACTAAAAACTTAGTTTTAAACAGTTTACTGTTTTGACACCTTTTAATAGTCAAAAGATTTTATTGTATAATCTAATTATATAAAATTATATTTATAAATAAAATTTACCATACAGTATTCATCCATTCAGCATACTGTTTGTTCAGAATTATTTTGCACATGATTATTAAAAACTTCCATGTTCTTGGGGATTCTATTTTTTTGATTTCTGCTAATTTATAATTAGCAATTGACACATTTAGTCTTACTAGCATGAAAATTAGTATTTGCAAATTTTTTAAAATTATCTCATGTTGAAGATTGTACATATTTTTAAATAATTTTCAAATAATTTCCATCTCAAAGATTGATAAGTATAAGTTTTTAAAGATGTTTTTAAACCACTTAGCGAAGCAAAATGATACTGATAGAATAAGTCAACATGCTCAAAACATAAGAATGGTAAAACCTGTATTGAGTATGAACAAGTAGAAAAGTAGAACCTATATTGAGGATGCTAACTTATACTATCAGTGCCATTCATTTATTAATAGTTCCAGAGATTATTGTCTGGCATATTTGATAGGTGTTTTTCTAATCTTAAGTTATCTATTTTGCTAATTTTTCTCTAAATTTAATTTCTTGCTTAAGTTCGATTTTTTATCATTTTTATTACCCTTAGTAAGCAAAGTTTAACTTTTGAGTTATTCTACTGAATGTTGAAATTTTGAAATTTATTTGAAGAAAACATATAAGTTATTCCTTTTAATTTTACTTCTAAAAAATGTATAGCAGCTTCAGACCTCAGTTTGTGTTTTACTACCACAACAAATAAATTATAAGGTGAAATTTTTTATTTCTTCTTAACCTGGATATGTTTAAAAATTGTTTTTATTAAATGATAATTATATTTGTTGTTTTTATTGTATGTATTTAATTATATTTGTTACGTTCATCAATAAATGATTATTATATTTATAGTGTTCATCATTCAAAATTAAAAAATATTCAGAGTATAGTAATTTTTTTTTGATTTTTTAGAAAGATATTTACTTTCCATTTCATTGTAATATTTTTATATTCTTTTGATCACAACATAAGTCTTCTTATTTGTTTTCTGTGATTAAATTAGTTTTAATTTTATCGGATTTTAATACTGAAATTTATACTCTGTTAAATTATTCATTTAAGGCTAAATAAGGCAATATAATATAAATATATACTATATTATATAAATATATATTATATTATATTGATATATAATATTACTTTTAATAATTTATTTTTAGTCTTTTTTTAGTTAAAAATTTTCTATTTTGATTTGGACTCAATTTAACTAATATAAATGAGAAAAATTTTTTATACATTTTGAAAAGCTAAAAGTTAAGTAGTTTTTTTGTTTTTTCATTGAAAATTGATTATAATAAGAATAAAAAAACTTGATTATAATAAGAATAAAAAAGATTAATTTTATAGCTTTTATAATAATGCCTTTGTTTTTTTCAGATTATAAATTTATATACAATCAAGCAAAAAAAAAAAGTACCCTGGTTTAATTCTTTATTGTAAATAATATAAGTTTTGCAGAGTACAGGATGCTCTATTTGACTAAAATTTTTAATTTAGGCTCCATTTTACTAAAAACATAAAAGTTAAAAAAAAAATTTTTAGTCAATAACTATTATAAAACATTATGTATACAATTTATAAATTATAATTAAAAACTAATGTAAATTATTAACTCTTGTAATTTTTTGTAACTTTTGTAATTTTTTGTAACTTTTCTTGTAACTTTTGTATTACAAAATATTAAGTAAGCAAATTTTAAAAATTGAAAAAAAAATTTTGTTTTGAATAATTTGTAGAACTTTGTTTACCCAGAATCCTTTTTTAGTATAAACAAGAATTATGCTAACTGATGCTGTTTACCAAAGTTTAAGTTTTCCTTCTTTGCCTCCTGACCAGGAGGAGAAGGTAATTTTATTTTTGATAAATTTTTTTTTATTTTTTAAAAAAAATACATTTTAAATATTCCTATAAAATTGTTTTGAATTATTTTTAAAGTTGTTAGTAATAAAGGTTTGAATAATAAAATAATTAAAAATTTAATTTTTGTTTTAAAAGTTGTTTAAAATGTTGTTATAAAGTAATTTTTTTTTCTTAAATTGTTAATAATGAATTTTGAATGAGGATTTTATCTTTATTATTAGTTGTTTTAATTTTTTTGTTGTTACTTATAGCATTTATTTTGTGCCATCATTAAAATTATTTTTTTAATAAATTCTTAAATTTAGATAATAAAATTTAAAAGTTTTAATTTTTATTTTATTTTTTATGAGTCAATGAGTTTATGTTTTATCTATCAATGAGTTTATGTTTTGTGTTAGTGCATTTATATTTTATGGGTTAGTGTAATTATGTTTTATAAATCGATGTGTTTATGTTTTGTGTGTCAGTGTGTTTATGTTTTATGAGAGGGGCATGAACAAAAACTAGCTTCATTTTTTAAAAAAAAGAAGATTTCAAAGTTTGAATTGTAATTAAAAAGTTAACAAAACGCTTTCAAATTTTTTTTACTTGATTGTTTATTTTGTTCACTGTTTTTATGTTTTTTTTCACATGTTTATCATGTTTTGTTCACGTTTAAAAAAATAGTTCTAAAGGTTTTTACAAAAATTTTTATTATCAATATTTTTTTAATCGCCCAATTTAGGATTGGCATTATCACATGAGAAGAAGTATGCAAGTATAGTTTTAAAATTTTTATTAATTGTAATTATAATTATTTATAACTTGTTTACTCACAGTCAAAAGTATCATTATTGTTTTATTTGGTTGCTTTTTTTTAAGGAAATAGTTCCTTGTATTTACTTAGGACCATATGCTGCTGTTACTAAAAATAAGGTTTGTCATGTTTATATAAAAGTAGCAACAATAAACTACAGTCATGGTAACAGTTACCCATGGTTTCAATTTAGTTAGAAGTTTTAAAAGAGCATGGAATCACCCACATAGTTTGTATTCGTCATCCCATAGAAGCTAATCTCATAAAACCTAATTTTCCACAGAATTTCAGGTAGTCAAAAGTTTTGTTATTTTATGTAAAGATTTGTCAAAAGAGATGTTTCGTTATAAAGTAATTTTAAAATAAAAATTATTCATTTTTTGGTAATAATAAAAACAAGTTTTTATTGAGTTAAAAAACTTTATTGAAGTTGAAATCATTCCACATTAAAACAAGTTTAACAATCATTAGATAGCATGTGCCCTTTAAGATTAAAATTTTTTAGATAGAATGTACCCTTTAAGTTTAACAATCATTAGATGGCATGTACCCTTTAAGTTTAACAATCATTAAATAGCATGTACCCTTTAAGGTACTTATTCAAAAACCTTTTATAAATTTTATAATACTTTTTTGTATATGTTAGGTATTCACAAACAATCTGAGTATTTGCAAAGAGATTTGAAAATTAGTTATGCTTATCTTAATGAATAACAAATTTGAAAACAAAAAAAACAACCTTTTAATTAAGTTTATATTTTAATTTACTTAACATTAAGACTTCGATTCAAATTTAACAAATAATTTTTAATTTTATCTATTAATTAAATGTTATTACTCCAAGTACTAAATTCAATATTTATTTGGTTATTCATGACATAAAAAAAAGCAGCATAAGCAATTAATAATAGATCAAATCATAAATACAACAGCTTTGCTGCTGTAAATTAGAAAAAAGAAGTAATAAAAAAAAAGTAGTTAAAAGTAAAAAATAGTTTACTGTCATTCACATTAGTATGTTTTAGTTAATTTGTATACAAAATATATATAAAAATTATAATAATGTTGTAGGTATAATTATACCTACAATATTATAGTTATAATATTGTAGGTATAATTATATTCTTGGGGTAGGACATGGTGTAGCAATCTTTTCTTTCATTATTCTTCTTTTTTCGTTTTCTAAAAGTGCCATATAAATTAATGTAATAAAAATAGGGTAACAATTTGTTACATAAATATGAAAATGATAAAGTTCAGCATTAAAAAAGTACACTAGTTGCAATTTCAGTTTTATTTCAAGGAAGTTTTAATTTAAGTAAAATATAGTGTACACAACTGTTGTATGTAAGGTAAATATATATTGAAATATAAATATACCAATAAAATTGAAGAAAGTAAAAAATTCAACTCCAAACTTAAAAAGCTTTTAACCATCAAAAGCAATTCGAATTTCCTGATACAACTCTTTAGTATTTCTGAACCTACTATGTAAATGCATTTTATCATCAAGTTGTTTTCATATATATTCTCAATAGGATTTATGTTAGGAGATTGAGTAATGATTTCATACATATCATGTTTTAATGAGTTTTGATGTGTGTTTGGGATAATTGTCCTGTTTGAAGGTCCGCCATAAAAGCATGTTTTTATCTACAAAAGTTATCATTTGATTCTTCAAAATTGAATTATGTATGTATTTATCTATAATATCTTTGATGTGATAGAGTGGTTCAAGTTTTTCAGACCAACCAGTCTTCTCATATTTTGTTTACCATCTGAAAATTTTAAGTTAAACTTTAATTTAACCTGTCGTGATATTTGATAACTGTCCAATCTAGTACTTTTCTTTGGTTGTCCCCCACAGTCCTCCAAAATGCTCAGTTTCAACAGTTTTATATTTGTTTCAACAGTTTTATATTTGTTAACTAATCAACTTATAACCAGTTTTGAAGTTTTTTTCTTTTTACATAAAAAAATTGTAGTTTTAACATTATAATTACCAATTATTATTATGTATGTATGTATTACTATTTCTCATCTTTCCTTCAGCTATAAATTTTCTTTAAATTTCTACTAAACAAGATTATTAGTGTTTTTATGTAAAAAAAAAAAAAGAATAATTATAAAAGTATTATAATTTTCTTAATTTTCTTCACTCCTAACAAGGCTGCAAGCAACCACAACCAAGTTGAATGTTACTAGAATAAATAAATAAAAAAAAAGTGAATAGAGCTTAAGAACTTGAAAACTGTTGACAGACGACTTGAAAAGTTGGAGGTTGTATGAGTCAGGAAAATATAAAGATTTAAACAAAAAGAAAGAGTTCCAATTGATTAAAGTGTGAGAAAAAAGTTAATTGAATAAAAGTTTTTATAGCATGCAGAGACATAAAAAGATTCAACTTACTAAGTTATGAGTCAAGTGAGAATAAGTCTTGATCATGGAACTAGAGATGCCTGTTTTAGCAGGGACATTGAAAGTATTTGTACAAAAAGGAAAGAGATGCAACCTCACAATGCTAGAGAGAGGCTCAAGCTTGGCGGGCAGCAGGTCCAATCATGTTCACAATTTTTAAACTTTGCGTAGAAGAGTAAGAGCATCATTTGAAACCCAAATAACAACAACAACAAATACAACAACAACAACAACAAATACAACAACAACAAATACAACAACAACAACAAATACCACAACAACCAATACAACAACAACAACAACAAATACAACAACAACAAATACAACAACAACAACAACAACAACAACAACAAATACAACAACAACAAATACAACAACAACAAATACAACAACAACAAATACAACAACAACAAATACAACAACAACAAATACAACAACAACAAATACAACAACAACAACAGCAAATACAACAACAACAAATACAACAACAACAAATACAACAACAACAACAACAACAACAACAAATACAACAACAACAAATACAACAACAACAAATACAACAACAACAACAACAAATACAACAACAACAAATACAACAACAACAAATGCAGCAACAACAAATACAACAACAACAAATACAACAGCAACAGTATTTTATGTTGGGATGAATAAGAGATTAGTAGAGGTAGAGAATGTTATCAGGAGTAAGATAATGGTGAGTACAATTAAGAGAAGCAGATGATTTTTAGCAGATGATTAGCAATCAATTAAATAATGGTTTCCATAAGAGGTTAGTAGTAAACAGTGGTGTTTAGCCAAAATGATAAGTACCAGAAAGCGTTATGTTAGGACGAATAAATAATGTAATGGTAATGCTAATAATAAATAAGGATGTACAAAATTTCATACAAATCAGGTCATTTTGATTGGTTGTTTCAAAATTTCATACAAATCAGGTCATTTTGATTGGTTGTTTCAAAACTTCATACAAAATTGTTTTTCTTATTATAGCTCAATATTGAATTTTTAAATATGTATGTCACCACCATATACCTATGTTACCACCATCTAATGCACAATAGAATCTTTCAGTCACAGCAGTTAAGAAATCAGTAGTAGAATAAGAATATCGAGAACCATCATGACCATGTCCTGCTATAAGCTATTTTAGGCAATGGCGTAGGAGATGCTAACTTTGACTTTAACGCAACCCCTGCCTCAGGGCTCTTGGTTGAGTAAAGGCTAGAGATAGTGTCTCGATAAAAATACTCATCTTGGGCAGATGTTAAATACATCTGTCTACTGTCTTGTAGAAGGCCTCCTAGGAAAAGACTTGAGTGGTAAATAGATTCTATCTGTTGACCAGTTTTGTGCTCCTTCATCTATTAGACTGGCGTAGATATATTTATAATACATTTTTTGCAGCTTAGGATGTTGAATGCTGGATCTTCTTGACTTATTGCATGGGTTTTGCTTACTCATTCTATTATCATATATTGAGGGTACTGCTCTTAAACTTAATCTTATGGTTCTGAGGCTGACTGGTAGTCAGGTTTCCCAAATTCGGTGGTAGCTCTTGGAGAGGCTGATTCTATCAACAGTTGTAAAATATTAGAGTACTAACAGTGCCATGTTGCACATGGATGGTCCCTGTTTGTTATTTTGTCCCTGTTTGTCATTTTGTTGTGCAATGTCAAAACCACATTTGGAGCCCTTTGTTATGGCTTAGGGTTTATTAATAGTAATGAAGCCTTTGCTTGAATTATTAGATAATTTACTGAGTACAATC